CAACCTACTGTGTACACACTGAACCTGTGCATGTTTGTGTTCCATATAGAAAACACATGCAACAGAGTGACTGTGGGCACTCGTGCATATTTGTGCTGTAAAACCAAAGGAGGGTTGATTAAGTCTTGTCCCGTTACAATTCCTGGGCTTGAGAGAATGTTTGCACTGATTTCTGTTCTTCTGTGAATGATATTTTACCATGCTCACGTTACTTGTTTGGATAACCTTTTCTACAAAGATTTATTTCACTCTGTGTAATCCTCTGGACTGCCATTTATATCTGTGCATGACAAGATTTATTGTATATCTCAACACAAAACTGATCAATAAACGAAATCCTCTGATCCCGCAAGCCTGTACACACGTCCATTTTGATCAAAAGTGGCTGCGGCTTCTATTGCCTCTTGACCATAATGTGCTGTAGAATTCGGTAGACGTAGCCACAGCCAAAAAGGCTCACTTCAGTCACGGTCACTCTACTCACATGCAGTCCAATGTTCAGGAAGAGACCTCCGCTCATTCCCCGTTCTCCCGACTCGGTGGCCTCCGTGCCGCCCATCTCCACAACGCAGAGTGACTCGGCCGGTGCCGGTAGGGCTTGCATGCTCAGCGGCTGCAGACAGTCCTGTGAGATGACAATGACAACATGACAATGACAGTGACAAAATGTACCGGCGATCAAGTCTGTGTAACGAGAGGTTATGGAAGTGCATCCACATGGTGGCTTTTAGCTGTCAGGTAAGGGCCGAGGCCATTTCGTGTGACCAGATCCAACCAAATGAGACTTAAGTCCATTCTTCAGTAAGTCTGTTTTCGTTTGCTTTACAATGGCATCCCGAACTCTTAACGTTGATTTATCTCTCAGTTTGGCATCCAGATAAAAACACGGACGTTACAAGGGTGACAGATGATGAAGGTTTCTTAAACTTCTACTGAGCCCGATTCTTTCAAAGGCCATCAACTCTAAACTGGCTTTGGTGACTTGCACCTTTTTTTGTTAGGCTGCATCACAAATTTCTGAAATTGGACAAGGGGTGAGAGTTGTTTACCTCCTGCACTGACAATGTCTATCCCTGCAAGATGAGACAGAGGTCTTAGTTAAAACCTCAAATAAAAATCTGCTACTGATTGTTACTATTCAAAACTGGAAGGGAAAGCAATGTTGTGCAAGAGAAAACTGGGCCAATCAAACGCTGGCTCACCGACTGATCCAGTGAGATGATTCGGACCGTGTCGTCGTCCAGGCCCACGGCCAGGAATCGGGCCCGCTGCTCGCCGGCGGGGACGCTGCCGAGACTCATGCACTTGACGTCGGCCGACATCTCCTTGCGTTCCGTGTACTCGTTCAGCTGTCCCGTCTGATCAAATAAGAACGGGGTGAACGTAAATCACATGGTGGCCGCCGGGGAGAATTTCAAACTGCCTGAATTTTGAATACTGCACCGAGAACGGTTTGAAAACAGCTACCAGAGAATAAGCGTGGATCCAAAACCAAATTTTTTTGGGGGGGGGGGTCGGGGATGGGGGAGACAACTTTTTCTGTAGGGCCAATAATTTGGAAAGATTTAAACCCCAAACTTTTATGGCCTTGCTGAAGGGTGAAGCTACATTTTAAGGCTTTTTGCACGCCTCTCAAAGGAAGAAAAACTGAAAGTGACCAACAAAATTGCCTTTCGGGGCTGGGAGGGGGGAGACAAGGGCATGGCCCCCTTCGTTCCACCCCGATCCACCCTTGAAGATATCATTGGAAAACTGGACTAACTGCTACACAGAACTTCACGAAGTAACTACGCCAACAAAATATATTGACAAGCAATATAAACTGAGCAAAATTCAGCCAGTGGCCGGTCAGCGACAATATACAGTGCCTGACATTTTGGGCTGGTGATCCATTTTAACTAAGCGAGCATTTTTTGGCACTGAGTGCCTTTCTGCGCTCTTTATCCCCGTAACACTGGTTGCAGGATCAGCCAAAAAAACCCGGAACGTATAAAACACAATTGAAGAACTTACTGGGTCCATTTCAAAGTACACCAGCTCCCCTCCAGTGAGCGCGATGACAACCTACACAGGAACAGAGTTAACGTTAATAGGGATCCAACTGTGACTAACAGACGGTTAATTCAATTCACTACAAAACACAAACACCTCATCCGTAGGCCAAAGTTTGCACTATACTCGATCAGCGAGCAGTTAGGTACCAAGGGCAGTTTCACGGGAGGATCTCCATTTTCTCACGTTTATGAAGTTCTTCAGAGTTTGTACCAGTTTTTTTTTTAATTGTAATTCAAAGATACCTCCATCTGCTTAGCAAATTACCAAATCCATCAATTGCAGCAAAAGTGCTGAGCACTGTTTGACCCAAACGACTATGCTACGATTTGACCGAGTCGAACGAGATGATCAGCCTTGGAATTCGACTGACCTGCCGCTGGTTGACGGCACACTTGACGATGCTCTTCTTGCCTGGCGTCTTCCATTCGTTAACACGCTTGTCTGCTCGGATGTGACGGATACCGTCAGGGTAGATCTGGGAAAAAGAGCAACCCAGATAATTATCATTCCCCCCCAAAAATTGATTGATTTGATTGATTTGTGAACATATTATCCATTCTCCCTTGCTAGGAAGGAAATCATAAAAAAATTTTTTTTCAATATTCCACACAAATTCTCTGAGCATCCACACTGGTACTCATGGGCAAACTTCTATATTCATAATTAACAAAAAAGTACCTAAAGTAAGTACTAAAATTTAAAAAGTATTTCTGTGAAACTGTCAGTTGATCATGGAAGGAGTCAAAAGGAGTCATTGCCTCTTCAAAAGAGGCAAATTAAAAAAAAAAAAACCAATTTATGATAAGGACATTTATTTAACCATTTCATTTCTCCAGCAAAGCACGTAACACGCACCAACATTCAGCCTCATCTTTTAGAAAGAAACAACAATACGGTGATGTGAAAAACATCTCATATTTTTTGCCAGGCCTCCCAAATTTGGTTCTGGCTCTGGCCTGGGCTATTATGGACTAAATGACGCTTTAGTTACCTGCAGGAGAGAGTCGTCTCCGATCAGTGAGGACGACAGCGTGGGCGTGGTGCCCAAGAATCCGGAATCCGTCACCTCTTCCACGGTCTCGCCGATGGACAAGACCAGGGTAGCGTTGACGAAGGACACGATGATGTAGGCGTCAAACTCATCTGCACGGCCACAAAAATACAAACACAGGACAAAAAAGGGGAAAAGCGATGTAAAGTTGCTTAACATAACATGCGCGGGCGACAAGAGCATTTATCAGAGCATTCAGACATGTATACTTAAATTTTTTTTTCAGAGATGCATGAAACTCAAACTTCTTGATGAAATTTCTCAGATTTTGAGGAGAATGACGAGAGAATAATTTCACATTTTTATCGGCAGATGAGAATTTCGGCTGATGGGAATCATCAGACATTTTATCCACCTACGTACAGGAGATGAAGTCCACAGGCAAGTCATAAAAAACACCTGACGTTCGACCACTGACTATGTCCTGCTGAATTTGTATCAATCTTTTTCAGATGAATGTCACCATCGGGGGGAAAACTGTGAAATTACGCTGGAATTTCAGCTATGACTTCTGTCATCTCTGGTAAGTGCAACGGCAGAACCATCAACTCGTGCCAAGTAGATGACATTTCCTGCTTGTGACCACTACTGGTGAACCTTTCTCGAAACTATTCGTTTGGCCTCCAGTCAGGTGTCAGTTGAGGATCCCACACCATGCTCGGCGCTTGTGGTCTGTCACAGACAACCACAGCATTCCTTGCGAGTACACAGAAAAAAACATTCTTGAGCGAATACGGTTTACATTGACTGTCCAAAATCTGCTGTCAGCTGCCAAAGCTGTCCTCCTCTGAGATGCAAGCTAGTACCATTTAGCCAAGTAAGCAAACTGCTTTCGGACACCTGAATCCTCGCACGATGAGCCCTGATGAGAACACGAGAGGGCACAATTTTCCCAGCAATGCATGCTCCTTTGGTCGGAACGGCACTTCGCTGGTTCACAAAACAAGTACAGAATGCACGAGTTACGGTCACATTCGCTCCCAACAAAATGAGCATTCCCAACCAACATGGCTCTTTTCAACCAACAGGGGGTGCTTCCGCTCCAGGTGGAAATTTCCTTGAAGGTCACTGAACTTTTGGCTTCTGCAGTCAATCCTGGCAGGTTACAATGGCAATTTAGGGCAGACCATTTCTACTTTCAACCAATAAATAACAGACAAGGCAAGAAGATCTTCTGTCTGCTCAACTCAAACGTCTGAATGTTTTTTCTCTAAGCTTCTTCATCTCCATAATGGGTCAAACATTGCTTTTCAGTCGACCAAACATCACTACATTTTTCCAACACGCAAGTAAATGTAAATTCAAGAGTTTTTGTGGGTTGATTAAAAATCCAAGACGCATCCTGTAATGATCAACCACTGTGTCTTCCTACAGGAGAGAAGATATTCTGGAAATGATTAGCAGTAAGTTTTTCATTGAGCATTTACATACAACAGTTTTTGAACTGAATGAAAACAAACTTGTTAAAAACGCAACACCAGCATTTATGGCAACACTTATTTTCTGCAATTTTCCATCCAAGATATTTGCACTTAGAGGTAGCCGGAGTTAAACTCTGGGAACAATGTTTTGGGTATTCTTTATTCCGCTATTTAAATTGAGGATGAAAATGAAAATAAGTGGGCATTAGAGAGCCGGTTTGACCGCAAACCAAACCAGGAAGACTGATATGGTAAAATAACCATTGTATCTCCAAAGGTCTTAATCTCCAAACTTCCTCAAGGAAGGGGTTCTTAAAATCCACACAGCTGCTCATACACATCCATGCAGTAATTTTGAAACAATTTTCAAACATTCATCCTGGGATAAATACCAACCCTTCAGGGAGGCCACTGAAGCTCAACAACACTTTAACGGGGGTCGTCCTGTAAGAGAAGAGAGATCGGCCTGGTGTTGGTGTCAGAACCACACACCGGCTGGTTAAGTATTTGGTGCTCGCAAGATATTTCAAGTTACTACAGACTACTCTTTCACCCACAAGTTTCTCCCCTGGGCACCTGTCTACCCGTCCTGAAGACAGACAATTTGGACAGGCAATTTTTTGCTCGTTCAATCTTTACAAGCCCCCAATGTTACATAAATCGCTAACACTGATGAACAAGTCTTTAAATCTCCTTCCACAACATTGAGTACAGTGGGCACGTAGCTTCAAATAGCACAAAGGGGTGTCAGTTTTAACAAATTTACTGGCACAGTGCAGGGCAGTTTGTAAGCTTGGCTGGCACAGGCGGACATTTCAGTCCTGGTTGAAACCCCATCTTTCAGCTCGTAGCAACACAATCCCGATTCAAGTAAAGCTATGACAAGACTTGGAAACAGTCTTTGTAGACGTTTTAATACAGAGAAGTCCATATACTGCGCGAAGGTTTACCGTCCCAGGGTCACACCCTCTACACAAACGGCATCTACATTTCAAACGGCATTGTATTACAGGTCCTTGGAAGTTCTGAGAGAAATAGTGACCCTCCCGCTGTTGGTAACAACTGCCAAAGGAGACTTAAGGGCCGTCAAAACCTTTTCATAGGGCCTGTTGAGTGTACAATGATTAAAGATGTTGAAGGGTACGAGAGCACAGTGCTGGGGCTTCTGAGGTGTGGAAGGTTTCGAGAGGGCCAACAGTGAACGGAGAAATCGTTGCTGTCTTACGGGGCAGAGTTAAGGCGTACACGCCCTGCTACTTCGGCGTTGTAGTCGAGTCCACCGCAAGTTCTTTCCTGTGACCCCTAGCGTGTCAGATGGTGAACAGTGACAAGGGACCACTGTAGTCACAGTCTGTTTTTGATAGCTTGTGACTTGGCTTACCAACTGGGTGACCAACTGGGTGATGGACTTGTAACGGACACGACTACAACACCGCTGCCAATTTACAAGTATTAACCACTTGCCGCCGGGGACACGTATTCTTTATACGCGTGGCCGGGGTCTCTGAAATCTGACAAAAGGGAACTGGGCCTTGTAACAAAAAGACCGTACTCATAACAAAAGACCAGGTTGCTGGGCATCACCAAGATTTTTTCACTCTCAATAGTGGAGAAAATCCAGCCTTGTTTTGAAAAAGCGTGCCCCGGTTTGGGCATTTAGCACGAGCGGATTACCACCAGGGACAAAAGCACTCCACCACCGCAGCGATGAGCCACACAGCACCGCTGCACGCTAATCTGGCCCCTATTGAAAAGAGGTCTGCAGCACACTGTGCCAGGTTCGTGAACAAACGAAAATTACGTAACACCACACAATTCAGGCTCTTTTTACAAGGCAGCAGGCCTGGCTGAAATACTCCAGCGTCAATAGATGTTGTCTGTCAGATTAGAGTAGAAACCAGACAGTCCTTCGTGTGGGTGTTGGTGTCAAGTAAATGAACGTATGAATTTTTACAGAATTTTGAAAACAGAAAAAAATGAAAATTATCCCGTCCAGGCATCGCCAACATTCATAAATGCCCTGGCGCCAAGCGGTTAATACCAAAGCATAAGTGCCAGGTTGCAATATCCTATGGGCCACATTAACTTTCTCCCAATTGCTCATGTTCTCGGCCGTTTTTAAAAGAAGCAAACTCGATTTCTACCCAAGTTTGTAGGCAAGACTAGTGTGCATGGTCCTTAATAAAAGCATCTACAGGATGGGCAGTTGGTTAAGGGCAAATGATTTTTAATATAATGGAAGTAAATTCTCAGTTTACTCAACAACCTTGGTAACATCTGTGGCATACTTTTTGATGCCCATGAAACACAAATCTAAATTAAGCTCAGACAGAAGTAAAGAGACTACATAGTGTAAATATAATGTAAAGCAAGTGAAAACACCAAACCTCGGGGGGCTTGAGGAAAAGGTTAACCATACCCCTCAAAGGTTTTCTCTAGACTGACCCCAACAAAATCTAACATTAGAAAAAGTGTGAAGCCTGCCCAACCCGACAGGATCCAACAGCTGGAACAAAAGGCCTTCTGCTCACTGCTCACATCAATAAAATCCGATGGAAAGTGACCACTGTTTTGGATATTGATGGGTTCGGCATAATTAGCGTTAAGGATTCCTGACCGAGTACACGGTACCCATGATTTACACACCGTCTCGCCAATATGCGTTCACCCTGGAAAAGCACGACACAAAACACAAGTTTGTTCCTTACAACTTTAGACTGGAAAAAAAACTTTTACATAGAGAAACTACGGTAACGCTACTCTCTTAGAACCAAGTGACCAATTTTGAAAAAGTTGATCTTACCGTCACTGAGTTTCTTGACGGTCCAGACGGCGTTTGGGTTACCTGGAAGCTCGGACACGGCCATTTCTGAGACCTACAAGCGACAGTCCAAACAACGGAATTTAACCATTAGGATATGGGTCCGAAATCTTTTCCCATCAAACTTAATTCACACCGATCCTCTAGGGTTACTTTGGCTGGAAACCTTGCCAGATTAATCGCAACGCATCATTTGTCAAAGGGGCTCTCCTACAAAAATGCAACAAGATCCAACGGGTCCACTGACCCGAAGACCAAAAGGCCTAAGGAGTCTGTGGTTGCCAGTCCCAACAAGATCGGATACTGGCATTGTTCAACGGGACAAACTCCCCTTGTCTCGACATGGACAGTTTATTTGGCTGCTGTCAACTGCCAAGAGCAACAATGACTGTGCAGCAGAGTTTAATAAGGCGGGTTTATTTCACGCGGATTTGGATCTCGATCGGTGATCCCGACCTCAGTTCACTCCATCCGTTGGCGAGGTCTGGTGTCTATGATCCAACAACGGATTACTGATTGAGATTCGGATCTGTATGAAACAAACAGGCCTTTTCGCACCTGTTGAATTGTGCTGCATCTGGCAGGTTGCTGATTATAACGAGAACTAACGAGTTTGGGAAAATTTGAGGGAAGTGCGGTACCTCCAGACCATGGCGGAGAACTCTCAGAGATGATCGCGGGCCTCTGCCCGACGCCACGTAGAGCTGTGGGGTGTCTTCATTGGCCAAATCTGCAATCTGAATTATGAGGAAACCATGGTAACTAACAACCGGATATTTCACAAAAATGGCGTGTCTCTCAAAAACTGCACACTTGGCAAAGTTTTCCGCACAATCCTGAAGATTTGGGTGGGCTAGCCATTTGTTTTCAAAGTACTACTGCGGAATGTTTACAGTTGAGTTAAGATCCTTCAACCAGAAAGTAGATTACAATGGCAGATTCAAGTAAGCCATAGGCTATGTCTAAATAAAGTGGCTGCGGCTATGTCCACACAAGCCTATAGGAAATGGCTGCAGTCATTAGCTAGTGTCTTTAACATGTCCATGCCACACTGTCTCAAATAAGGACTACATGATGGCGTCCTCGCGTGGTCAAGCGTAAGGCAGATCGGGGCCACACATGCACATGGCGAGCCTACCTGGCAGTTCATGATGGGCGACAGGCTCTCCATCTGGTCGATCTCCACTAGGTTCTTGAGAGACCGGGGAGCAAAGAAGAAGGTGTCCCCTTCCTCCAGGGGCATGGCGCTGCTGAATTCGGGCTCGTCGTCGTCGTCCCCGAGATGGGCAATCTGGTACAGGTAGCTGTGGGTCGTCACACAAAAATGACAAAAGTTGAACCGGGAAACTCACTGTGTACACCAAAATGGTTTAGGACAGCCAATGAATTAATTAATGCATCCAGTTTGAATAGTGTCTAGAACCCTTGGTTCCTCCTGCTTCACTCACATCCTCACATTGGAATGTTCCAGGCTATAAATAAACTGCTGCTATCCCATGTGATCTGGGCAAGCTCTTGCACAGTTCTGTAAGAGATGCCAAGTGCCAAGACATTCTTCAGTGTTGCCGGCACAAATCTGGTCCCGAAATCACCTAAGATAGCTTCAGTGCAGTAGCCTGGGGAATTCTACTGTGATTACACAAGTGTCATTAGACATCCAAGGGTTCTAGACAGCTTGAATTCAATTCCAAAATGGCTCACTGAGTTATCCCTTTTTTAGGTTTGGGTGCTTCCAATTTCTTTTCTTCCAACAAAGGAAAACCAAACACCAGTGACAGACAAATCAGTGGAATCACAGATGACAAGAGGTCAAGATATAACCCTCTCGATGAACCCCATATTTTATGTTGGCAACACTGTATTCCACTAATTGTGGCAGGTGCAGATTCAAACTTAGATCAGACAAGGTTGTGAAGAAAGTTTAGTTTTTGAAATCATGGGCATTTCATACGAAGCGCGAATAGAGTGTCATCATCTCCAAGCGGATCTGCACTTTCAAGTTACACCGACAACATTCTGTCACGATCATGATACGTTCCGCCGATCTGCAGCAGCGACACGGCAAGTTCTCAACATTAAAATGACATTTCGACCGGTTCGTTTTCTTTTTAATGTAGCGCAAGTATTTCTACAAAGATGTGGCGGGAAGGTAAAAACCCGTCAGTAAACACGAGAGTGGGACAATTCTTACTGGTTTCCAAATTCGGCGGCCAGGAAAAGGAATCCCGTCTTGAGCACGTTCATGTTGGTGGCGACGGGCACAGTGTCAAAGTACTTCATGCGGACCTCCGTCACCATGTCCTCGTCCGTTTCCAAGGTGATTTTGAAGATATCGCCTTGCTCCGTCTGGGCCAGGAAGAAGAACATGGACTGCGAAGAGAGACGGACGGAGAAAATTTGTTCAATTTGGTTTGACAGTTGAACATGTTGATGATGGACCACAGCTACGAAAAAAGGGTCACCAAAGAGGGAACTTTATTAAGATGTTCTGCACAAAGGGAGAACAGAACTTGTAAGCAAACCAGTCAATCCAAGATGTGACAATTCATAGAAATGTTTAAAACCCTAACCGCCAAGCATATTGCTTGGCTTACACTACACAGTACTACAAAATACTAAGTAGTAGCCTGAGCCTGAAGGACCTAGCGCTACAGATTACTACTTCTGGCTAGGTTACTTCCATTGTTACTCGTACAGAGAACAATAAAGCCATGCATTCATAGTGCCACAGCACTGTATGGTACGTTGTCTGATCTATTGTATCTTAAGGCTTCACAGAACAATAAAGTCATGTCCTCTTACAAGCGACAGCGCTCAGTACTACATTTTACTACAAGTAGTAATTTGTTGAAAAATGTACGGTTAGGGTTATTAAAAACTCAACCAAAAATACCAAGTCGCAAAACTCTCACATGCAGCACAGCCAAAAAAAATTCAAATTTACAGAGTGTTCTTGGAGTACATGATGTGGCACTGATGATCTAGGTCTAGGGTTTGCTACTTTGACATCAGTCACATTTTACCTACTAATGGCTGCTAAAACTATGGTTGGTGTATCAGTACAAAAGTAAAACACTCATTCACTAAGTGTTAAAAATCCCATGCAGCAGTCAGGACACCAGACAGTAACACACATACGACTAAATACTAAATAAAAGTACAGCCCAATTTTTAAAATGAATGGGGGAAAATGTCAATTCTGAATGAGTTTGAGGTGAAATGGAAAAACCATCTAAAAGGTGACATTTCTGCCAACTTTGGCCGCCCGTACAAGCTGTAGGCAAGATGAGAGTGGTCTACATGGAGGACTGAATGGGGAAAGACTTGATTCAGGAACCGTCAAACGTTCATTCGTACCTTTGTTTTGTGGGTTGCACTGGAGACAAAGATCATGCCCCTCTCTGGGTCGTCCAAGTCATTCTGGGGGAGGGGGGTATGAAAAGAAATCAATTGAAAAATTTGCCCTGAACCATGATTCCAAGTGAAGCCATCATTGCACAAACCAAACTTGCAACGAGTTTCCATACGTACTAAGTGCAGTCCGTCTCACGTTATGGCTAGCTGACTGAAATGAACCTACATTCCTTTTTTCAATACTTAGGGTTCCCACAAAAATCTGAAAACCAAATTCTGCACGCACCTTTTCCCGGACTTTCCAGGACTTACTCATGAAAATTTTCACAACATTTAATGCCATTTTGCAGAAAAAAAAAAAGTTCTTTGGTATTACAAACTTGAAGTCTACTACAGCCACTCGACTGACTGGCAAGGATAGCTTGTAAATTTATCACTATTCCGTTGATAAAAAAACCAGGCCAATAAAAATAACCCTCGCATGATCTTGATTTCCGGGACCTTTCCATGACAGTTTTTTCCTCGGCCCAATTTTCCATGACTTTTCCATGATTTTCCGAGACCACAGGAACCATGAGGCTGCTTTGTGGTCAGCTTACTACTCTGCTTAGCAAATAATTCAGCTTAGAAGAATTTCCACTGGTAGTTACCCGTCTCCGAGGGATGGGCATTCGGATGTCAGGCTGGTCCCCGAGGTTCTTGTAGGTGATGTAGTTCTCGGAGCAGATGAGCACGCCACTTGGGCCATCGCTGCCACCGGGAACTTGCATCCAAAAAAGGAAAATTTTGATACAAATTTTTTTGAGATACTTTAAAATGTTTACTGGAGACATACATTATTCAATTCACAGACAGATTTGAAGTTTGGATCAGCATTTTCAGTAATATTAATCACGAGATCAGCTGAAACACGGATTGAATTGCTTCATCATGTCCAAACTACCATCGTCCACAAACAGCCGTTTGAAAAAGGCTACGTAACAAGTACACAGATTCCACAAACAACACAGTTAAATGCCGTAACTAACCCATTAACTCACTGATGTAAAAACTGGGGTTTTAGATGTCACCGAAGTGCCGATCAAGACAATGTCCAGACGTCGAACACCAGCACTGCACTACGTTGGTGACATCGTATATTCAAACACTGTCATGGCCCAACCTCACAAAATGAAACTGAAGTCGCCAGAGCAACTTATGAGTTGAAGTCCACCAAAAAAAATTGCCTGAAGACCCATTTTGTGGGATCAATCACTGCTGCAGAACAGCTAAATATCTGCTTTTTGATTTCCAAAACCCTAGAGTCTATCCAATCTACCCAGACACACATTTGCAAGCACAGTCACGGTCTTTCTGCTCACGAAGTTTCCTCTCTCGCCCAGACCGATCTGGGTCCCACTTCGCACGACTGCCTACTCACCCGCAATGAGGAAGTTGCCGTGCTCCTCCAGCGGTTCGCTGTACTTCCTCACCACGTGGTTCAGGCCCAGGTCCAGCTCGTAGTAGGTCAGCATCTGCTGAGTGGCTGCGGCGGCCTCCCCGGTGGGGTCGGAATCGGCATCCTGTGTACAAGCAAATGAAATCACAGTCGCCAGTGTTGTAGTCTGGACCACTTGAGACCTTCACAAGACCAGCACAAGACCAGCACAAGACCTCCAGTCTGAATTCAAGTCACAAACTTTTCAAATGAACTGCGACAACAGCATTCTTTTGTCATTGTTCACACCGTTACTTGTGCCTGGTCTTGTGGTGGTCTCGACTACAACACTGACGGGTCACAGGTCCTCAAAAACCACCAAAGCTACATCGGTATGGCGAGAGCACTTCATGGAACCTCTTCCAAATCCACACCTTGAAGTGTTTTCAAAGGATTGGACACTGAACAGATTTTGAAATCATTCTTTACCATGGGACGAGATGTACCAGATTCTGTCTTTGAGAGATCAAAATACAGTTTTGTGTTTTGAGAATGTATATATGTGTATTAAAGAGGTTTATTAAATTTTGAAGACAGACTCTTGGAAGTGTATCAAATGAGAAATCAAAGGACTTTAACCCTAACTGCCCAAGGGTTGCTGGCCCTAACCTTCCCCATTCACACAACGTTAAACACACCCATATGGGACTTTGTGCACAGAGGCTGTTGGACTTTTTTCTGAGGTATGCCAAACCCAATGCGAAAGCCAGCTGTTATGGGCCTACCAGACCTATCCCCACAGAATTAAACACTTTACTATTGTTAAATTCTGTGTGGTTGGGGAAAGTTAGGGTTAAAGAGTTTGGTGAAGCATGTCTTGTCAGTGAAACTTTAGTTTAAAACTCTTACAGAACACAACAAACCGCCGTACCATCACAAAGTAAGTTAAAAATTTCCGACAATCGATGCAAACTGACCACAAAACTACGCCCAGTCCCACTTGGTTTTGACATGCCTTATCGCAAATTTTTTTTATTCCCCTGACCTCGTAATCGATCTCCAGGCAGGCAAACATGGGGTTCTCAAAGCCCACATCCACCCCGACGATGTTGTAGCAGAAGGTGTTGGACTTGTGGGCCTCCAGCGGGGAAGAGATGGTCAGCCGGGCCTGGGAGTCGCGGTTCAGGATGTACACCAGCTTCTGCTTCTCCACGGCCGCGATCATGACAGCGCGGCCCTTGGGGTCCACGGCCAGCAGCTGGCCGGGGACGATGCGACGGCAGCCGCTCTTGCCAAACGTTTCTTGATGCACCTGCAAGAGACCAAGTTACACAGGGTGAATTAAATTAAAACTGACTGACTGAAACCTAGCTAATCTAGACAATTTCGGGGGTTTTTTTGGGGGGGGAGTGACTTCTTTTAACCCACAACAATATTCAACTCAAAGACTGTGAACTCTTGAGTTTGGATCAGAAGTTTCGGTACTATTAATCACAACATCAGCTGAAACACGGATTAAATCACTTCATCATGTCCAAACTGTCCACGGCTATTTGCAATAAAGCTGCAAATTATGTGCAACAAAGACTTCATCAAGAACAACATTTACCCCTGCGGATGATGAAGGCTGTCTCTCAGAAAATAACAAACTCACCGACATCCAAGACCAGCATCTCTGCCATAATCTCAATGATAAATTTTTCGGAACATAGACACAGTGTACCATTCCACCTTACCCTGTCAAAAGAATTCTTGGACTGGTTGTATTCCAAGATGACGATTCGGCCAGAGTCAGTCCCAACAACAATGTAATCTGCGATAAAGGTCAGAATTGAAAGGCAAAATCAGCAATGCTCAATGCATACAGGGAAAAATAAGTGGCTGGAGGAAAGGTTTGTCAGCTCTGAATAAAACAAATGACAACACCATCTAAGAAAGCAAAAACTTGCATGACAATGTCATGAAAACAGTATCTTTTTTTATTGATGAACACAATGGGTTAATATTATTGATAATAAAACCAAACTTCTTGCTAGGTTTACTGATACAAGTAACAATTCAGATGATTTAATCACAAAGATATATCAAAATATCAAGCAGTCAAATTCGTTAGACCCACCTTTACTGCCTCCTGTCAGCTTAAACGGCATCAGCGCTCGTGTGATACCAAAAATCTCATGTGTCAGCACGACATGGAGTTTGCCCGTGTTAGGGTCCAACTTGAGAAGCTCCAAGGTCTTCCCTCGCGCCACCACGATCTCCTGCTGCTTGGTGCCAGCAAAGTTGCCGTGGACGGCCTGCACAATGCCCGTGGCCCGCTGCAGAGTCAGCGAGTACAGGAACATGGTGGCACTGGCAGCGTGAGATGCTGCAGCAATTCAAAGACAACAAACAGTAGTGAAATAAAAAGAGGTTAACCTTGATAATTATTCATAAAACTTTGGCAAAAAGATCCACCAAGGTAGAGCAAGATCACGAGTACCTATTCAATGCAGAAATTTTGGATATTCTGTCAAGGAAAAAGAGATGTTTAAGGATTACTTTACCACTATCAGAATCACTGAACGAACAGCTCGCGTCACCCCGACGTGTTAAATAATAGACTGTTAACAAACTAACATGTTTTTTGTAATTGCTACTCGTTTTCAAGAGACAGGGTACTACACTAATCGTTACTGCATTAAGTCTGAAAACCAGACGTTTTAAATCAAAATAACAAAGACTACGAAGGGGTACCAGTTGATAACTGCCTTCGGATACTGCAGTTGGCAGGGTCGCCTTTAAAGAAGTATCGGCTACTCCAGAAAAAAAGTTTTACCAACTAGAACCAACTTCTAGTAGAAGATACTAGTAAACTGCTGTCCGACTGCAGCGACCTAAAATGTACATTTACATGTGAAAAAGTGGTTGGCCTGACATTTTGATCCAGCAGAATTTTGAGAAAGGCAAAGGTATACAATGCAAAGGCCCACCACTCCAGCAACCAAACAGGCCTTCTTTAACTTTTTATATGCATAATTGACACTTTTAATTAGCTTGCGTATTAAGAGGTGAGTCTGTGTAACAAAAGAAAAATAGCAAACATTTCCAGCTTAAATGAAGGGGTTAAAATGAGCCAGGCGTGTATTTTCAAGGCAAAAGAACACACCCTGAAAAGAAAGCAAAGTTACAGGAGAAACATCACTGATTTGACCATGATTTGACATAACATGCCTAGCAACAAAGATGTAAATGCTTAACTGAAAAACATTTTGAAAAATTATGTCTGTTACATGCTGAACACGGTAAAAGAGTTGTAGCCATGTCTTTTAAAGAAAATCATGCAAATGTGTTAATGTCAATTGTAAATTGTAAAAGAAATTACTTTCCATGGAATCTCCTTCAAGTTGGCGACTCATCCCTTCCCCTTCAACCGTATCCGATAATATCCTCATGAAAATGGCGTCCGCCACGTCTTCGGTGTTTGATGCGATGGGCGTGCAGAATTTAACCGATATTTCCGATATACAAGAGGCTTTTGAACAACTCTGCGTGGAGGAGGTAAATTGCTTATATATTTCTCTTCACAGTTGGTTTTAAAACAGGCTGAATCGTGCTGTCATGGCGATAGGTCAAAGCACCGGGAACGTGTCACTGTGTCAGCCGGTTTGGTCGCCCTGTCTGCGGCGTACACGTCTGCCTCGGTCACCGTCTAGTCTTTAATATAAGTCTAGACGGCCGAACCGGCCCGACCGGTGACTGGCTCGGAGAGGGTCAAGATTTTCTTATTTCTCCATGTGTAATCACCCCAAAGTTTTCATGCAGTCTGGCAGTACTTTATTATAAACGTTTTATACCCCCCACCCCCAACAAAATATAGAAAAGATAATAAGAGGCAAGGCTTGCAAAATTCTTTTGCTTTTTAAAAAAATCTGTTTACCCATAGACTCAGGAGGCCCCACATATTTGCTGCCATTCCAGGATTTAGGAGTATGTCTAAAAGTGTTTTTTTTTAATTTCATCTTTCATTAAAAGCGATTCCTGAGTTGTCGTTGAGTTGTTGTTGTCGTTATTTTTTAGCAAGCAATCACGGATGATATTGATGGATTGTTGGAAAAACAGACCAACCTAGAGGCTAAGATGAACACCTTACAGCGACAAGGGTGAGGAATAGCTGCAGATGACTGTAGATTAAATAAGAATTTTTTTATTGACTTTTTGCCGGTGCATCTTCTTTTGAGGTGGGTGTAGCTCGAGGGGCGGAGGGTGGGATCTCTTCCTCTGAAATACCAATGACAGTCCAAATACTAGCATCAGCATTCTCATAATAGTCACACTATATTGCATGTGCACCCTTGTCAAATTCATACTTACACTTAAGTTTTTTTGTTTTCCCACTTAGTCAAAACCTGCAGCTTGTTCACACTGATGCTAGGCAGCTTGGAAGCATGATCTCATTCACCTCCGATCTCGCCGAGAATGTTAGCGGCAAAGTCCGAGAGCTTGACGTAGCAAAAGTGAGAACAACTCTCCTCCCCATCATTTGGAACCTTCTGTTAACCCTAACCCTAAATGTTTACTTACGTTAAGGCTTGACATTTTGTGATTATATATGATTGAATAAATTGATTGATTGATTGATTGATTTTTGGCCTACAGAACAGAGTTCAAATAGCAATCCAAAGAGTGAATGACATACTAGATCTCAAGGTAAGTTTATTGAAAAGTTAATTGTAAATTCATCTTTTGCTATGAGTGTATATTGCCTCATTGTACTAGACAAGGATGTACAATGCATTTACTCTTTCTTTTCAATTTATTTCAATCAGTTTTGCACCGACGGAGTCCAGACTGCCCTCCAGTCAGAGAATTATGAGAAGGCAGCGGGCCATATACACAGATATCTGAGCCTTGACGAGAAGGTGTTGAAACAGGTCATCGCGGATAATAAAGAAGGTAGTGTGCCCTGCATGATACTCTAACGAAATCATCCCTTGTGTTTGTCCTCAAAGCAGTGTCACCGTCAAGTCCCTTCTCGCAAGTCCTGTCCCAAGGACCAGTCACAGGTAATGGGGTTAGCACAGACAACGCGATGCTTTTGTCACAGCCCATTTGAATAGCTTGTGACTTGGCGTGAGACGGGATGGCTTATGATGGACTTGTGATGGACTCCACATGACGCTGCCTCACGAGACCCTCTTTATGAGGGCTCAGCCAAGGGGGTTGCAGCATGACACAACGCAGTAGGCTGTAGAATTGAAGAGTGAAATTAGGACACTCTTAACCCCTTTGCGCCCGTAATTGTCCAACAGCAGACCCCATTGAACCAGCAGCTGCATGGTGTATGTGAGGTATGCACTAATCCTCACACAAAGCCGCGGCTCTTGCCGTCTCCCGGAGCAAAGGGGTTGAAAGCAGACGCTGCGAATGGATAATAAACGCAAAGTTTGAACGATGCAAATAGATCAGAAACGCAAAACCATAACGTTGAAAACTGATGACAAAGGCCTTAAACGTTGTTACAAAAATATTCCCAAATCAACTATTGACTTACCAGTATCTTCGTATCCCCATTTTGTAATTTACCTTAAGGGGGACACACAGTGTGTTTTGCAACAGACAGCTACAATCCCTGGCTATACACCTAACCCAGGAAATGCAGTTTATTTGGTTTGATTTATTTAGTTTGGTTGTTTTTTTTTCCCAATCCAGGCGGTGGAATCGATCTGTCCATCGGCCTCCTCCACGAGGCCGAGCAGAACCTAAAGGCCTTAGTCCGGGAGAAGTTTGACTCGGCTATCCAGAGTGGAGACAGGGGGTCCGTGGAGAGGTTCTTCAAGATCTTCCCGCTCTTGGGGCTCCACGACGAGGGGCTGGAGAAATTCTCAACGTACCTCAGGACACAGGTGAGCCAAGCTGACAGGATGTGAACGCTTTTGGCATGGTTGAAGTAAATTAAACAAAAAAACAAAGTTTTTTTTATTGGAAAGCTGTTTTTTGTCTTTCTTTTAGAAGAAACCTATATATATGCAGTTCTGTATGTTTAGGACTTTGGCTCCACCAAAATCAATCTAATTCTCTCTTTTGTATTCTGAAATGAGCAAATAAGGTACTAAGTGATATTCGCTTTTCAAAAAATTGGTTTGTGTTCCAAAAATGTTATTCCACAATCATGCTTTTTTGGGGGGGTTGAAAAACTTAAATGCCTATTCCCCACAAATGCCAAGCAATGCTTCTGCCGTGGTGTTGCCAACAAACATAACCTTCCATAATTTGAGAGGCTAGAAGGATTCTTGTGTTTTCCAGATTGCTAATAAGGCCAAGGAGAGTCTTACCCTGGCCCTCAGCAAGGACAGCACGGACCGACGGGCCAGTGTTGTCTACGCTGACACCATCACCATACTGTTTGAGGACATCGGCAAGAGCGTGGAGATCCATCAGCCTCTCGTGGAGACATATTACGGTCAGTCTACAGCAAATTTGCTAAGCCAAGAAAATATTTGCTTAGCAAAAGCAGGTTACCGGCTAAATTATCAAGCACAGCATATTTGTGGTAGCTGGTTCTCGGGTGAATCTTGCTATTGAAACACGTGAATTGCTAAGCAGTCTTTTGGAACTGGGGTCAGATATACTTAATTTTGGTGGATCCAGCATTGCAGAACCCTGGCATCATTACATTGCGCAATTAGTATTGATTTGAAGTTGTTCACTTTGTGGAACGAAATAAAAAGTTATGTAAGAGTGTTTAAATCTACCAAAGGAATAATTTCTTTTCGATATGCAGCTTTTCAGAGGTAGTTTCTTGAAAGTGTAATTCTGAAATGAGTTATTGCAGCTCAAATAAAGTTCAATGAGTAACGATTGCTTTTATTTCTCTCTGTGAGTAACAGGTCCTGGCAGGTTATTCACCCTCATGCAGTCGCTGCAGCAAGAGTGCGACATCCAAGCCAAGCAGATCGTGGAGAGCTTCGTCCGTAACCGTGAGTTTGACACCAGGGCCCAGCAGGTGCAGCAGAGCTTACGAGGCTACAAATCGTCCAACCCTAACGACAAGTATGTCCGCTCTCATAGTCGGTCTCTGATAGCCGAAGTAAAGACACACATTCACTTTTTAACCAGGAACTAAAAAAAATTATGGGCAATGTTTTTCTTTTTCGTGTGTCATTTTTGTACGGACATGTTTGAATTCACTGATGGGAGACTACATTTTAAAAGTTGATGAATTAATTCACAGCTATAATTCTTACAGAAAGGATTCTCCAAAAATCCCAAAACCTGGCCCTTCTAACTCTCATAGTTTTTGTCTGACAGACTAGACCCACGAGACTTAGACGTCATGCTAGCAGAATGCACCTTGCTGAACACAAGGACAGAGCTGTACCTGAGGTTCGTCAAGAGAAGAATTATTGTAAGTAGACAGTGATTCTGGGCAATTTGCCAAGGTCCCCAAACTTCAGACAAACCTGAATAGAGTCTAGCAATCTGTTTTTCATGGCCCGAGCACAGGTAGTCTCGAAAGCGGTGCATTTGCTGTGTTCTAATTGGCCCATCTCTTGAGAAGGCCAACCTTGATGGAAGACAGGTGGGGTTTTCCAAATTTCACTGCCTTCTCCATTTTAGGCCTCAGACTTTTTTAACAATTCCGTTTAAAAACCAGTCACTTTCTCCCACAGAAACATTCAGTTGTTTGATGCCAGGTCAAAGTTCACATAGATTCAGAATAAAGGGCAAGTGGCAATGAAATGGGATAGGCTGGTTCCCTTCTTTCTATAATGTTCTTGACTTTGAAAGGATGGATAGGAACCATAAGCTTCAATCTCTTTATTGAACAGAGTGATATAGAAGTCTTGGATGAAGACGTAGCTACAAAGCAAGCCAGACAAGCCGAGCTAGACAGGTTCTTGATGAACTGCCAGCTCAGTAGACACATGCAGGAGCTGATCGGCAACTACATCATGATGGAGGAATATTTCATGCACGAGACAGTGACAAAGGTCCGTAGTCCTTGGTCGACTCTGCCGGTGGCACAACAAAACGAGCTGAAATTATATCCTCTTGTGATGCATTTTGTACAAATGGACACGGTCTTCTCTACACAGTAATCCCTGAAGGAGACATTGAATGCCATTGTTGCTATGCAGCTGATGCCCACTCTAAATGCTGTTGTGCACATTTTGATGAAAACTTGTGGTGGGAATTATGTGCCATAAAATAACACATGCATGTTAGTTATTTTGATTATTCAATATTTTAATTTTTTTTTTTTTACCTGTTTTATTTGAAGGCGGTCAGTTTAGACAGCTTAGACTCCGGGTCGCAAACGTCCAGCATGGTTGATGACATTTTCTTCATTGTCAAGAAATGCACAAGGTACGTCAGTGAGTTGAGATTGGAGGGCCAGTCAAGAAAGTTTGATATTTCTGACTCTAAGCACAAAGAATGGCATTAATCAAGCATGGTGCAAGAAATGAATGTTGTTCCTCTTCTACGATTTTCATGAAGTGTCAGCCAACAGTGCTTCACTTTCAGTTCGTGAAAACCTTGACGGAATGTCCTCTCCATCATTGTATTTAGGAGAGCAATCTCCAGCGGCAGCACTGACTGCGCTTGTGCGATGCTCAACCACACCAGCTCCCTACTGGAGGGCTCCTACCGCGACGTCCTGTACAACAAGCTCCGTGCCGGCTACCCCTCGGGCTCCTTTGACGTCAGCCAAGCCTACAGCATGCTGCAGCAGGGCCGGTTTGCGACCTCCACGACAGACACCAATGCAGCCAAGCTAGAGTTCCTGGTGAGTGTGGCTGACATCCTAGGGGAGTTTTGTTTCAGTTGGTTCAAGGTGAAGCAACTTCAACCCTGACAAAGGCTGGACCCACCGAGATTCCTCAAAATCTGCCAGGAGGTTTTTGCGGGGCTAAGGAAGGCAGAGCTCTTCTGGGGTTTTATGTCCCTTAAAAGCTGAAGTACAGAGAATGTACCATTGTTTTTCTGCAAAATGGAGGATTTGTAAGGATTCGGGAGGGTTTCCAGCAAGAATGCCTGGCAACAATATATCCCCAAACCAAAAAGCTGATACTCAAAAGTGACGATGTTTCTCTTATCATTTTCTGGCCCCTTGAGGTACATTTCAAAGTGTTTTCGTTGGCCTGCGAGATCCGTAAAAATGTGCTCGTTTACTCGATTTTTTCACTTAAGACAACATTAAACAACACCGAGGTAAGCATAGAGTACACACAAGCCCTCAAGAAGAGCCTCGGGGACGAGTGCTCCTCCAAGAATCAACACCTCGCCGACAAGGAGAGAGAGAAACTGGAGAGCTGTCTGGCCGACCTGGGGAACGTCACGCACAAATTCAAGGACGTCTTAGAGGTAGGAGTTTTGACCGAACCGCATTCTCTGTTACCTTGACGACAAAGAAAGCAAAATCCATATAAATGATAATAATAATCAGTTCTTATGTAGCGCATATTACGGAATGGCTCTATTCGCTTATTATCATTATCTCTGTACATGGGGCTCGCACATCATCTGAACATTCCTGAAACCATCTCAGCTCCCTGGGGAGTATACTAGCCCGGTGCTGCCGTTTCGGTGCAAACGACCGAACATAGCCGTGGTACTGCCACAAAATACATGCATATTTCTCCCTGACTTGCCACTGTACCCTCCGTGTACGCCGTTTTCCCTAAAACTGGTTCATTCTAAGGGTGAAGACAACTTTTACAATTTGACATAGGAAAACTGCAAAGTTAAAATGTGTTCACCCCTTGACAAATTCAGAACGGAAATGTTCAAACAGCACAAACTGGCGTTGGAATCTCGGTTGTAAACAAAGTCAAGTTAAAATGAGCCAGGTCACACGTCAGATTGCAAGGTCCAATCAAACGTACTGAAGTAACGGGGGATGATCATTGACAGTTGAGTCATGGATTGTCTGAAGAGCTTGCAACTTGGCTTGTGACTGACCTGCAGTGGTATGATTATGTATCTTGTGACCGTCTGTGACCGTCTGTGACTGTCTGTGACCGTCAGTGACTGTCTGTGGCTGTCTGTGACCGTCTGTGACCATCTGTGACTGTCTGTGACTGTCTCTGCAGTACGGTCTGAGCCAGCTGAGCACCAGCGCCATCAAGCCTCGCCTCAAGCCCTGGGTGGATAACTTCCTCTCCACCAGCCACAACATATCCGAGGAGGAGTTCTCCAACTACGAGGCCAACGATCCGTTCGTACAAGTATTCATCATCAACCTGGAGCAACTCCTGAATGAATTCAAGGTCTGTCCAACCTTCATTTCATTCTCAATGAGAGAGTCCCAATTAATGGAAGAACTAGGAGTTTCATTACTCGTTGAGTAGTTCACGTATGTAAGAAGAACTCAATAATAAGCAACCAATTAGCTTGCTAAACATAGATTCTGTGTCTCTGGCATACAGGATTTACTCACACCGGCAAATTATGACGCACTCGTTGGGTTACTCACAAACGAGGTCACAACTCAACTTGAGAAGGCAGTGCTCAAATCAGTCTTCAACAGAGTAAGTTTGAATGACAGCACTCAGCAGTGGGTTACAAATCAACATTCTGTGAGAAAAAATTGTCAAAAAAGTCTGTGCTCAAATGAGGTTTACTGGAACTACGGTGAAACATTACCACAAGCCTCAACATCCTGGCTCCCTGATGTGCCTTGCAATGCACACAGTTGCTGGTAACCAGTGATGGAACCAGCCTCCAAAGGCTGACCTCAAATTGGTGACTTTAAACGGATCCGATCGTCGTCAAAAACGAAATTTGTGCAAGCAACTCCGACCAGGGTTCCCGTCGTGGAACATCACTAGTTGCTTTGTGATAACTTGTGCATGAACTCGCACCATCTTCAAGTGGGTGCAAGAACTGTGGTTGAGTCCATCACAGACTCTGCGCGTCCCTCACATGTCATCCAGTCTGAAGCCAAGTCACAGTGTACTCAAAATGAACCGTGACAAAAGCATTCCTTTCTCACTGTCCATCCTGCTTCTCGTGACTCGACTTGCTACAGTCCATGCAAGTGTCTGCCTCGACTCTCTCTTTTTAAACATCGAGGGCACACTTGCACAAAGAGGCCACAGTTTACCAAATTTCTCATTTTCCAAAGAGGTCAGTTTCAGTACATACTTTAATTCATTTGATTTTTGTCACTTTTACTGTAACAAAGAGTAACAAGGACTCTTAAACAACAGTAGAAGTTGTATTTTGCCATTTTTTAGCTTGGCGGTTTACAGTACGACAAAGAGCTGCGTTCCTTAGTCGGTTATCTTACCTCTGTAACTCAGTGGACCATCCGAGATAAGTTTGCCAGGCTCACCCAGATGGCCACCATCTTGAATCTGGAAAGAGTGAGTAACCCAGCCAATCCGAACCATTTCACGCCCCCTGGACAGTCAAAACTATCACTTGCTGTCAAAACATTTCAATCTCCCGTGTCAGTTTCTCTGATAAGTGGTCATATGCTGTCCTTGTAGTCATACCCTGTCTGTGGATTCATGTGGACAGGTATCGGAAATCCTTGATTACTGGGGCTCCAACTCGGGACCTTTGACCTGGAGGTTGACCCCGGCAGAGGTCAGACAGGTGCTGTCTCTCAGGTATGTCACTGATTACCGCGTATTCTCTGTGCATTTGTACCTTCATTTGGCGTGCACCGATGTACACAAATCTTCCGGGTGCCCTTTCCAGTTTGAATTCCTGTGTTATGCCAATCAGAGTACCGAATATGACCCAAGATACTTGTAAACCAATCCCTGTGCACTGCAGGCTATATTGGATATTTCTAAGCTTATTTGCATCAAGTCACACAAATGCTTGACTAGACTTTAAAATAAGTTGGCATTGTTCACGTCTCTAGTTAAAGGACATTGTGTCATTCCATCATGTTTTTAAATAAAATGTTTAACAAATCCCTCATTGAAATCCTTAATGGTCATATTCTTGATTTCTTTTTCTCAGAATCGACTTTCGAACTGAGGACATCAAGAGATTGAAGCTCTGAACTTCCTGAAATCCTTGCCGACAAATGTCTCCACCTGTTTGCCACCTGTTTGACGTGGCTTCTTCCAATATAATTCCTCTGCCTTGTGGAAGCGCCATTGCACCATTCCAATTGGCCCAGAATCACCTGACATATCACGGGACAAGTTGGATAGAATTGTCAGTTATTGGACCCGAATTCGTAGAAATGTTTGCATTATTTAGATTTTCTGGTTTACGTCTTGCAATCTTGGGTTTTGTATCTTGGTGCAACGTAGAATGTTTTGTATACTCAAAGAGATTGCATAGCAAAGCTTAAGAGGGTAGCAACTCCTATGGACCCACATTATGAGTCAATTTGTTCCACATGGATCCGGATCAGTGATCCCGAAGCTGGCTCGCACTCTCCATTACGCAGTTTCTGCTGTCAGTGAACCAACGAGGGATTTACTGATCGTGATTCTTATCCGTGTGAAACAAACAACTCCCACATCAGTCCGTCAAAATGCACGCAAACAGATTTTTGGGGTTTTTAAGTTTCCTTTCAAGAGCCCTCATATCATTCGAGTGCCTTGTATAAATGCAAAGTTGTATTTTGTATTCACTTAGAAATGTGTCATAGGGTGCCAGACTTTCATGTAGTACATGCGTGAGTATGCATTAGACTGCATTTTTTATTTTATTTGACACGGACATTCCAGACCCTTGTAGTTTTATATTAAACCTGTGGCAATGCAGAAACGAATATTCAGAATGAATACGTCTGCACTGGTCCACATTTTTGGAACACAGCTTGATGATGTTCATGAGTCCCGAGCTGTACCAAAAGAGGATGCAATTTTCCTAGCAGTGGATGCTCCTTTGGTCAGAGCTGCACTTTGCCAGTCCAGAAACGACTATGAAAGGCACACGTTACAAACGTGTCGCTTCCGTCAAAATGAACACTCCCTGAGGGGGGATGCTTCTGTTCAAGGCCGATGGCCGGTAGCATCTTTTGAGTAAAGACTGAATAATGTTGAGCAAGATATGCCGTGAAACTGAATAGGGCAGACTGTTATGCGTTATTTTCACAGTATTGATCTGCTTTCAATTTGATTGCATTTAAGCGGGTAGTTGGACTGGTTTGAGATAACCTGGTACGTTTTTTGTTTACATTGAAGGCAGGTGTGTTAGAAAAAGGCTTGTTCCACTCAAGTAACACTGACCCCAACACACAGCATAACCAAGTTCATGCTAGGACTGCGCTGAAATCAAAGGTTATGATTTTTTGTAAAGTTTCGAATCTTGGTGGAAGTTATTAGCCAGCCCAAAGTTGCGCTCAGAGAAGTGGTTGGGAAAAGGGAGCTCTGCACTGAAGGAAATTTTGTTGCTTTTTCCCTCAAACATACTGCCGTGAATTTCGTTCAGTTTAGTTAGCAACGTGCCATTGACATTATAAATGTCTGTTCGCTTATCGCAATTTCTAGAAAGAGAGGTTTCTTTTTCTTTCTTTTTTTTACATTTTAATTTTCTATCGGGGTACTTACAGTTTAGCACCTTCTGTAAATAACCTGTGTATAAATAAATGAATGGTTGATAAATGTACGTGTATATAAATAAGAATTGTACAGATGGAGGATTGGAAAGATGACATGATTAATCATGTTTGTTGCTGCCAAAACGTTCTTTGAACAAATAACAATTCCATCGTGACATTCTGTGTAATGCCTTGTTTGATTGAAAAAAAAAGAGTTCGAAATTTAACATATCTGTCATGAGACCTGTGTGCATATACAGAGGAATTTCAGAATAATCCCAAACCTGATGTCAAAAGTTATTTGGACTTTCACTAATCCAAGTGAAAAGACATAAAATAAATTACAATAATAACGGAGGCTGCACCTGTACATGTTTATTTGATTGTATCCATAGTGAGACATGTCATGATGTCATGACAGGTGCGGATGGGCAGGTAGGTGGTCCAATTCCCCTCCTTCCCTGCTCTGAGACATAAAAAAAAGAAAAACAAAAAAGGTAAACAAAAATTTAAAGGAAGTGCATTCATCATTTCTGCTTGTCCGCAAAAAAATGAGACATTAAAAAAAATCTTCAGCATGACCTCCCCTGGAAAGGTTATGCACCAACCCCCCCCCAAAAAAAACTGCGAGCAAAATACTGTAAAAATTCACAGAAAAGGTTAATTAGTGATATTTACACGTATAACTCGTCAGTAAAAAAAGGGTTAATCTTCATGTTTCAGTGCACAGCACAGACATCATCTCCTTAGAAATCAAACAGTGAAGGTGATTCAATACTGTTAGATCTAGTAACGAGAACAGAAAGTGACACAAGCTCTACTTTGATTGCTGTCTGTGTATATGGAAGCCTATCTCTGGATCACCAAGAGCACTTCAGCTGAAATAAAAAAATATTCAATTTTAGAGTTTCTTCTTTAAAACCGCATGTGTTAAAAATACCACCAGTTGACATTTTATTTTTGAAAATGGACAGTATTTGTTTGCACCTCTTTGGGAGAGCACACTGTATACTCCATATATGTATGTGTATGCATATCAGCAAGTTTTCAGAAGCGCCGTGAGTGGGCGTATTGCTCATGAGGGGACTTCCCTCTCTTGTGCAATATGACAATGACATTGCTGATTTCTTCAGTTTGGCTGTCTGCTAGCCAGCAATAGCCAGCAATACCCAGCCATAGCAGCACTGGCTATATTTTCCCTGACTAGAGCATAAGAACACTACATACCGACTACCGATTGACATCAAAAAAAGGTGAGAGGGGAGATTGTAAGGTGAAACTTGATTCAGCTTTTCATTTTGGTCAACGGGTTCCACGCTTAGGTTGCAATTAAGCACATGTCTTGTTTTGACATTAGAAATTTGACCTTGGCTTACTGGAGGTAGGGTAGGGAGTACCCATTTAAGAAAATGAAATTTGTCAAAAAGACATAAATATTTCCTGTTTATTGCTCATAAATTCAGACAATTTAAATCAACTAGGTCCCACACTAAGGAAGGAGGTTCATTTGGTTTTCTGTTTCCCCATTGTTAGAATTGTGTAACTTGACTACCTCCATTGCAGCTAGGCATAACAGCTGCAGGGTCAGAGATCAAGGAAAATAGATGCAACAATGGCGCAGCATGCAAAGTGACAGACCTTTGTTCTCATTATATTTAAAATTATCCTTTGGGCTTATGTGTACAATTTTGAATATTTTTTTATTTTCTCGCAGTACCAATATTTTCAAGCGAATTTTCTGTTTGTTTTGAACCAAATGCCCTAGAAGAGACCACCATGGATGTCTCTCCTGGCCACTGCTGGCGGTGTGAGAGAATTCCCGCAAGACACTCTGTGCCTTGCAGCCGATGTCCGACCGCCAAGTACTGCTCGGCATCTTGCCGAGATGAGGACGGTGCCAGACACCGTGCAGTGGAGTGTGAATTATTTGGCGAGAAAAGATGCAGCGCTTGTGGAAAACTTGGCAAAACACACGAGGTGGGCTGTTTGTGGCATTCTCCAATTCAAAAGCTAGCTAAGGTTCATTTCCATAAATCCCTTCAATTGAGAACCTTCCAGAAACCTTTTTAACATGATCACTTGATCATGGTATTGTACGACAAACAGGTCATACCTTATGTGTGAACTCTGGGGGACGTGAACTATGTAAACAGCTCTCAAATAAATTGTTTTCAGAACATTTTATAAATACCTAGTGATAAATTCCTCAGACAGTTTCCCTATTCAACAACAAGCAACTTAACCGTGTATTAACATTTAATAACGCCCGCTGAGAAGTGATAATGCCCGCTGCGTCAATCACGCACTGGCACATGGATACGAGACAGTTTAATCGATTCTGATTGGTCAAGAGTCTGTGTGCACGTGACTCACCACGCATGCACCAAGTTCACATAAGGAGATTCTTTTAGACAACTTCCACAAAGACTTTAAAATAAAATGGACAGGGATACTCGGGAAAATGAAAGTAAGATTCTGGAACAAAATCGTTGGAAATCCATCACATGTTGACTTCTTTTGACTCTCTGGCTGAAAAAGGTATCTATGCATGGGAATAAATATGTGCTTGGCTGGTCTTAAACTAATGTTTAACACCGGCTCAGGAGACTGAATGCTGATAATGCCCTCGCCTTAGTTGTATTCATTCTCCAGAGCCGGTCTTAAACGCATGTTTAACACTGGCCAATCACATATTTATTCCCCTCCTCACAGATAAATGTGTAGCCTAAAACAATATTTTTAAATATACAAATGCTTAAAAATTTGTAGGGAGAAAAAAATGCCTCTAATTTTTTTTTAAGGGGCATCAGTCACTCTACTGGCTGAAAATAAACTGGTCAATGAGTGACAATGTCAACAGAATTCTGATATCCTTTTGGTTTTTTTCTACCTTGTTTTGAGGAGAGACCCTATTGATCTTGGGCTTAATTTGGCCCAACCATGAAAACTGTTCTTCACTGTTCGAATGAAATTTAAGAGTCCACAGTTGGAGGCCAACTTTCAATGCAAACACATGCAGAATATGGGGAAGATGAAAGGACTGAGTTATGTATTATTGAAAATTATGACTAAATGAATATCCCCCCTCCCATGAGTGCAAATGAATTAATAACAAAAAAAAATTCTATCATTCTGTTTCTCAAGTGTTCTGGATGCAATAATGCATGGTACTGCAACACAGACTGTCAACGGCGTAACTTTCCAACTCACAAAGTGCAGTGTCGGCAAACTAGGGAATCGATCAGAGAAATGTCGACCAAACTCAGCAGGTTGACGATGCTGTACGGTGACTTTCCACAGTACTTTGGAAACACCATGGCTAAGGACTTCCTTCAACTGCCAACCAATGAATGGTCATCAAAACAAGTGACGGAGGGCGAGCTGGCCAGGGACTATCATGTCCTGTCTGCTGGTTGCGGAGACTTGCGCAACACGGTGTTAACGGCCGCCTCCCTACCCGACAAGTATCGGGGGAAACTCCACGTCACCCTCAATGACTATGACCCATTTCTAATGGCCAGGAATGTGCTGTTTCTCTTCATGTTGGTACGCTTTGCAGATGCCGATCACATTGCCTCCAGTTTGGTGACCATCTGGTACTCGTTCCACCTGCCCAAGCGAGAGTATAATTTAATCAAGATTAGCTTGAAGGAACTAATTCTGATAAGTGCTCAGAAACTCTGTGATGTGACCAGAGGACTGGTGTGTGTAACTGATGAAGAACTTCTATATCTGAGTATCGTTTGGGAAAAGTGGCAGGGATTGGAATGTCGACGAGACATGAAAACCTCAATCAACCTTAGACAACAGAGAAAGGATCTGTTGCAAAACAGTGACCAACAGACAAAGGAGGAGTGTTCTTCGTACTTGAAGGGAATCAACGCAAGAGACAGAAGGCAGATGGAGAAATGGTTTGAGCACGGACTCTTTCTGCCCTGCGAGGCAAAAGAGAGAGATGTGCCATTTGACAACCCTACACTAACCGCTCCTAAGGCTAGCACATACTGGGTGGATAAGGATGCTTGCTTGTTGCTACTTCGTAAAGAGGCTCCCCCGGCTATGCCAAAGGAGGAGTTCCCATTTACGCTGAGCATTGGGCCAAAGTTGATTCCTTTCACGGTTTGGGACTGTCTCAGGGTCAGAGAGCACTCAGGCAGGTCGTTCTCGTCTCCCATGGTGATGTACCACAGCTACGTGACTGACCTCCTCCAGAAAGCCAAGAGCCTCATCCTTCACGGACGGCTCCATATCCACATTTCCCTCGCCAACTGTCTGGACTTTCCCAGTCAGCATCGTACATTGCAAATTCCCAACTACGACCGGATCTTCACCTCCAATCTCGCTGACTACCTTGGATTTCCCAAACTCCTAAAGTCCTTCAAGCCGCTTCTTAACACCAGCAACGACTACTCTGTCATTGTGACCGAAACAATGAAATGGTTTGATAGTATTCCTACTGCTTATGTCCGTTGTCTCCAAGCCAGCCAGCTTGAGAAGGTAAAGAAAGACTACTGCCACGATATGTTTTCTTCATGTCAGACCAAAGGAATCGAAAATACCTTTAACAGCATCACCGAATATTACAACAACACTTCCCATTTCATCCAGTATCTCCGGGCAGACATTACTGCAGATGGGCCAGGCGTACCAGCACTACAGGACGTGCCATCCTTTGAGACTGTCAAGAAGTATAACGGCATGCGCATGCGAGACTTCCGCAAGGGACCGAACAAACTCGCTCCATTCCAGTACCGTTTGAATGCACGTGATCTCAATATGTTAAGAGGATATGTCCGAGCGCTTGAGTGGTGTCTACCAAAAAGTGATAGTTAGACAAATTAATACTAAGCAATCCTTAGAACACCTCCACTGGCAGTTACACCCTTTCTTTTTTTACCTTTTTAAGCTTGAGTATCAATGTACCCACCCTGGTTACACATATTTTACTTTCTACTGGAGTATTACTCTAAAGAAAAAAAATGCTTTTGTAAACGTACAAGATAAGTTTGTAGCCTGGACAATGTTGGACTTGGTGAAAATAACTGAGGAGTTTAAGAGCGGTGAGTCTTATAATGGGAGAGGTTTTCTACAAGTAAGGATTGCCAAATACTGTGTGGCACATGCTGCCATGTGATTTTTTTACCATGTTGAGGAAAGATTCTTCAGTTTCATAGGAGATTAAAGCATGTGTATTAATTCCCTTCTTTCATCCTCTGTGCGTAATCCTCATTTTAAACATAAACAGAAGTTTTAAACATAGTTTCCGTGTCATGTTGGGCTGGTACATTGTGGAATATATAGCAAAGGCCACCTGCAGGTGGCACATAGGAATTGTGCAACAAATGTCCACCAGAATGTGTTTGCGCTACGTGTTTTGAAAGCAAAGAGAGATATCATTAATCTCCTTGGATATTTAGCTAATCAAAACGCAACAATGGAACCTGAACTTGAGGTATAATCTTGAGAAGACAGGTGTCAAATACATTCAGAAATGATAATAATTACAGTTTTTATGTAGATCAAAGCACTTTCCATTACTATTACCCCTGCTCATTGGGCCTATGAAACATTCCAAATACCATCTCAGCTCTCCAGGGAGTATACAGCTCGATGCTGCCGTTTCGGCGCATAGCAACTAAATCAACCACAATAACAATCTCTGCTCTTACAGGGAACCCAATAACTCCTGGGTGGAGAGAGGGCATGAGTGATAAAGGCCTTTAATTGCCCGAGGGCACACACACCATGACCTAAAGGTTGGATTCGTGGATTCGAACCCGCAACCTGCGGCTTTACCCGGCCGACTACAAATCTGATGCTCTTAATCACAAGGCCACGGCACTCCACGTAAATTTCCAATGTAAATGATAAGTCCTTGAGTCCCCACCGGCTCTAAGTCAGAGAACGACACAGCCATAGGCAGCCAGACTTAACGTGCCATACAAAAATATCTCCTTTATTACCCTGTTAATAAGAGCGTACTTTAACCCTAACACTCCTCAATCCTCCAACAAGTGAAGGATTGAGGAGTGTTAGGGTTAATGTAAGTATCTAACAGTCCTCAGTCCTCCAACAGGTGAAGGATTGAGGAGTGTTAGGGTTAATGAAAGTATCTAACAGTCCTCAATCCTCCAACAGGTGAAGGATTGAGGAAGGTTAGGGTTAATGAACCTGGGTATCCGAGATACGAGTTCAACAAGCAAAACTTTGGAAATATTCCACATTTATATATATTACTTCATCCTTCAACTTCCATTTGGAGTTGAAATGACTCCCTTGGTGTATGTAAAATATTGGAAAACTGTCCAAAATGTTTTTTGTTTTGTGTTGTATGTTAAATGTGCAATATGCACCTTTGATTTCGACACACATAGTATAAAATCCCACTTTTATGCTAAAATGATGTGAATATCAAGTTATAATCTAGTTCCAAATCTTTGTGGAAGTTATAGGCCCAAAGATATGCTTGGAGAAACGGAAAGGGGAATTAAGGATATTCAAGATTTACATGTAAATGGAAACTTTGTTACTGTTGCCCTTGAAAACACTGCAGTTACTTTTGTTCAGATTATTTGGCAACATGTCACTTGACTTTTCTGTTCTTTCATCACAATTTCTGAAAAAAATTGATCTTTTTTGCATGTTAGTTTTCTCTCAGAGTTCAGAACTTATGTGAATAAACCGAGTATGAATAGTGAGTGAAGTGTTAAAAATTTGTAAGAATTGTACAGAGAGAGGTTTGGAAATGATTTAGTGAAAAATTACATTCTTTAGCTGCACAAATATTCATCGAGCAACAGTGGCATAGCCAAGGGAGGTCAGGGGGCAGGGCCCCCCCCACCACAAATTCCCAGTGCCCCCTCAGGTCCCCCCCAAACCCCCCCCGCCCCAAAAAAACAAGAGGATTGGATATTGAATAAGGCTTACAAACCACAACACTGAAAGCTGGTGCCCCTTTGTGGGCCCCCCTCCTAGTAAAATCCTAGCTACACCACTGTCGAATAAATAAAACTTTCACCGGTATGTTTCATGCTTTGTTCTATCTAGGAAATGGAGCTCTACTTAACCATATGGAATTTCACACTGTTGCCTTTGACTCGTACTACTGCTATGTGTTGCAAATTCCCACAACTTCACAGCTGTGTGTGCATGTGTTGCCCACAATGTGATTTCCCCAAGTCTGTGTTACCCACAATGTGATTTCCCCAAGTCATGTGCAATCTGGCAGTGACATTGTGAAATCCTGAATGCTGGAAGTCCATATAAAGCAGATGTATGGCCGGCTAGACACTATAAGTCATATTTTGTCTAACCAGATAGAGCAAGAATATCACGGCACAGCATTCATTTTCATAAGAGGTGAGTGATGATCGTATCTTATGGTTTAATTATTCACGTTCAGAGTTTGGCCACTGAGTTTGAATGTTTCACACACTAAGCAAAATTACAACTTAAGCTCTCTATTCTGTGATGTCAATTTTCTTTTTACCTTGGTCTAAATCAAGGGTTGGGCCTACTATCTAAAACAAAATGGGATGTGGCAAACAGACATTTGCACTTTGTAGCCGTTAATGGTTTAATTGGCTGGTACCCCCAAGACTTTCAAGCATCTCTTCAAAACACATTTGTTGGTTGATCTCGTTTTCTTTGGTTTGCTTCAATTTCTGTCTTGTAAATGTGACAGTTTTTGCATTCTTTTGGTAAAGCGCAATGATCAGTCATAGAGCTGGCTTTTCTTGCAGTTACTGATATTGTTTTTGTCGTTGTCCCCTCCCCAAACAGTTTTCAGGTTTGCACAACTTTTATTTGGCCAAGCAAAAAATTAAATAGCTTTCTCGTCCAAGCCTACGTCCCCTTTCCTCACTCACCTACTTTCTCAGGCATGTAACTTTTCCTTGGATCAGCGGATTTCCTCATTTTTTTTTACTTTACTCTCACGCCATTGAAAAGTGGAAAACACTGGGCAAAGTCTTGTAAAGATTAGAATTTCCTTTTTTTTCAAAGTACAAGTTGCACGTTGCTTTGCTTTTCATCAGTTTTTCCCTTTTCTGTTCGATGTCACCCTAGTTTAATTGATGTAAGTAACTCATGTAGCTTTAAATGCAAGTTTAGAAACTGTTAGATGGGCGAAAGCTCCTTTACTTTAACAAAATCCATCTGCCCTGAAAAACATACGCGGATAAAAAAAATGCCACATCCATATAAAAGAGACAAGAAACTATTCTCTTTACTTTGCCTGATGTCATAATACAGCTAGAACTTGAAGAAACTAACAACAGTTGTTGGTAGGTTTGTAAATAGGGAGGATATGAGAGTTTTGATATATATTTCAACAGAAAGATTCAATTTTGAATTGTTGGACTAGAATTATTTTAGAGAAAGATTTAGATCATTTTACGTACAAAGTGATCCATTTGCTCTTATTACAATCGAAGATTATGTGGAGTGCCCTGTAGTAACATTATGTTGGACCCACGGGAAAATCCAAAGATTAACTGATGATGTCGTCATGTTGTCACTTCTGATAAAAATGCTGGGCCTACATTCCCACAGAGTTTAGAAATTATGAGGCAGACATATCCAAAATGAAATGAAAAAAAAAGTTTCTATGACAATATTGCACAACAAAATCTAATTGTGTCACCAGCGATTGCAAAAAATTGCATTAAAATTTGTCCATAACTTGTTGAAAAAATTACTTGACCTGACAGCTTGATCCCAAGCTTTTAAGAAAGACCAAAAACATTAGGCCTTCACATTTTTTTTCATTGGCGTGTTTCAAGTCTATCTCCATCAAGCAGTTTGCAGCAGACTTTGTATTTTACTTATAACATGTGAGATATTCTGCATACGAGCATAAACAAAGGTGAAAGCATTCCATAGCTTCCTCAGTGGAGATAGCTTGGAGAACTGTTTCATTTGCTTTATGTTCCGCATGCAGCGAGCCTAGAGGTGACCACCATGGATGTCTCCCCTGGCCACTGCTGGCGGTGTGAGAGAATTCTCCCAAGACGCTCTGTGCCTTGCAGCCAATGTCCGACCGCCAAGTACTGCTCGGCATCTTGCCGAGATGAGGACAGTGCCAGACACCGTGCAGTGGAGTGTGAATTATTTGGCAAGAAAAGATGCAGCGCTTGTGGAAAACTTGGCAAAACACTTGAGGTGGGCTGTTGGCAGTGCTGATTTGTCAATTTGACTTGACTTGTAGAAAAACGGCTCCCGTCCTGTTAAAATAGATCCCTAGTGTTAAGGTGGAATCAGAAGCTGTTCCTTGTTATTTGAATTTAATTACAATGAATGTACAAACCATTTACTTAAGCCTATCCGAGAGGAAGAAATAAATGCCCTCTGACATAATGTCACATGCAGAGGTCTATACAACTGGTAGTTTGAGACATACATGAATGTAAATTAATTTTGGACTTTTTTTTGCCCTCCCCGACGAGTATATTAACACTGTATACTCAGTGTATGCCCTCGAAGGCTTGTGAAAAAAAAACCACAAGGGTACTCGGGTGGGACTCGAACCCACGACTTCCTGTTTACTAGTGCAGATGTGATTGTGTTGTTTTAAAGCCTGTGTAATGTTTAAAGGACGCTCCCTTGCCCCCCCTAGAAATAATTGTTAGCTTGAAGAAATGAATTCAAAACAATCACTTTTCTCTCATTCTTGTTTCTAGTGTTCAGGATGCAACAGTGCATGGTACTGTAACACAGACTGTCAACGACGTTGCTTTCCAACTCACAAAGAAGCCTGTCAGGCTATTAGGGATTCCATAAGACAAATGTCAACGACAATCGTGAGGTCGCGACAAAACTACGGGGATTTTCCTCAATATTTTGGCAACACCATGGCTAAAGACTTCCTTCAACTACCACACAATGAATGGTCCTCGAAGCAAGTGACAGAGGACGAGCTGGCGAGGGACTATCATGTCCTGTCTGCTGGCTGTGGGGACTTGCGCAACACGGTGTTAACGGCCGCTTCCCTACCCGACAAGTATCGGGGAAAACTCCACGTCACCCTCAGTGACTTTGACTCTTCACTTATGGCCAGGAACGTCCTGTTCCTCTTTATGCTGGTCCGCTATGCAGACAAAGATTACATTGCATCCAGTCTGACAACCATCTGGTACTCATTCCACCTATCCAAGAGGGAGTATGACCTGATCAAGGCAAGCTTAGATGAACTCGTTATGATGAGTGCTGAGGAACTCTACAATGCCACCGGAGGACTCGTGCGTGTGCTGAACGAGGAGCTGCTGTATATGACAACTGTTTGGCAAAAGTGGCGAACATTAGAATGCCAACGAGACAAGGAAGCATCAATCAACCTTGAATGGCAAAGAATGGATCTGTTTATAAACAGTGACCAGTCCACAAAATATGATTGTTCTTTATATTTGGAGAGCATAAATGAGCAAGACAGGAAACCGATGAAAAGATGGTTTGAACACGGACTGTTTCTTCCCCATGAAGCAAATCAAAGAGATGTACCATTTGACAATCCTACACTAACTGGTCTAAAGGTTAACACATACTTGACTGATGGTGATCCACGTATATTTCTGCTATCACAGGGTCTATTCCTTGACCAGGATCCTCCAGGAATGGAAGACTTCACGCTCTGCGTTGGGCCAAAGTTGATTCCCTTCACAGCTTGGGACTGTCTGAGGGTCAGAGAGCACTCGAGTAGGTCCTTCTCGTCTCCCATGGAGATGTACCACAACTACGTGACTGACCTCCTCCAGAAAGTCAAGAGCCTCATCCTTCACGGACGGCTCCGTATCCACGTTTCCCTTGCCAACTGTCTGGACTTTCCCAGTCAGCATCGTACGTTGCAAATGCCCAACTATGACCGGATCTTCACCTCCAATCTGGCTGACTACCTTGGATTTCCCGCTCTTCTGCAGTCATTCAAGCCACTGCTGAACACCAGCAACAGCTGCTCGGTGATTGCCACTGAGACTATGAAATGGTTTGATTCTATTCACTCAGCTTATGCTCCATATCTCCAAGGTAGCCAGCGTGATAAGGCAGTGCATGCCTTCTTCCAGGACATGGTTCCTTCGTGTCATTGGAAAGGAGTGCAACCAACTTTTAACGGCTTTATGACCCATCACAGCTTCACAGAGTATTACAATAACACCCCTCACTTTCTCCAGTTTCTCCGCGCCGATTTCATGGCAGGGGGGCCAGGCGTACCAGCACGACAGGACGTGCCATCCTTTGAGACTGTGAAGAAGTATAACGGCATGCGCATGCGAGACTTCCGCAAGGGACCGAACAAACTCGCTCCATTCCAGTACCGTTTGAATGCACGTGATCTCAATATGTTAAGAGGATATGTCCGAGCAGTTGAGTGGTGTCTACCAAAAAGTGACAAAATACTTTTGTAGCATGGCCAATCTTGGACTAAGTGAACAACTGTCTTTTTGTTGTAACAACATTTGGCATTTGAAGAAGAGTAAGTTTGGAAGTAGCAGGCAGAGAATGAATGCTACGCGGAACATGCAGAGACGTGTTTCTCCTGCAATGCTTTGGTGGAAAGTTCATGAGTTACATATTAGAGCGACAGCAAGTAACATGCATGAATTCCATCTTTGACTCGTCCTTTCCCGTCACACAAACCAAAGATGGCCCATTTCTATGTTGTCTTTGGCTAACAGTGCGCACATACAGGTTTGCTCACCTACGGGACAGAGGTTTTGTGACACATTTTCACCAGAACGGCAGAGTGTACAGCCGTTGCGTCAGGTGTTTTGTTTAGTACACAAAGAATGAGGTCATTTCTACCGTTGGACTATGAGCGACTCAGTCAGAATTCTGAACTGGAGGAGCAAATGTAAGGAGATAATTTAAAAGAAAAATCTGAGAGTTCTAAGTCTACGTCAATTAATCACGGTGAACCATGCCTTTTTGACGGAGTCCTGACAGTTGCATTGGACGTAGAATGCTATTTATGACAGAGAACAACAAAGCCAGATTTGATATACCAAAAATATAACTCCTTTATTACCTTGTTAGTATGAGCTCACTATATTTAACATGTATAAGCAATACATGAGTTCAACAAGCAAATGATCTATGAATATCCCAAAAGTATATGCATGTTACTTCCTGTACAGCTTTTAGTTGAGTTCAGAAATGAGTGAAACAATTGCTATCTGAAAAGAAATTGTCCAAATAAAAATTCTTGTTCTGCGTTGTGTGCTAAAAGTGCAACACGAGGCTGCACCTACTTTTTATGAGGTGCAATACAAATTCTTCTATAAATAGTGTGCACAGGTAAGTGTTGGAAAACCAAAGTATTTGTGCAAAATATATAGTGCTAATTAGTGCAAGATTTTTGAAACAGTTTGAACAGGGTATTTTGAAAATATGCCACACGTTTGAACGAGCAGTAATTAGCTCGTACATTCAAACAAAATCTCCGATCATTTGACAAACTTTAAGGAATATTTTGCCCAGTATGTGTCCTACATCAAAAACTTTTGAATGTTTATAATGGTACTGTTCTTAGTGCCAATATGCTACAATTGATGCGCTGATTAACCTTGTTACTGAAAGTTCAACTTCAAACTAGCCACTATATGCACCTTGTTCGCTACCGTTATCTAAACTTTAACATAAACTGCGTGTGAGATGACATGGTGGAATGTTCAGACCCAGAGAAAAGAATGGATGAGCAAATTAACTATACCCTGTAGTAATACATGTTGAAAGTTCACAAGTTAATGCCTTGTTCCATATACTGCAAAGAAATGTGATTTACTGATTCCTGAAATCAACAATCCATTAGTAAGGCAAGTATAGTTAGCAGAATAAATACAAATGCAAATATAAAGTGTATCAGTTAAAACCAAAACGTGTTACACCTTGCTGAAAAATAAACTACATTTAACAATTATTTACCCAACAACCAAAAATAAATGATTAAATGCATTAGCAACCGAGCTCAATTTTTCGTATAATCTACTTACTACTTGTACATGATTTATCATTATCACGCTCCACTACATTTAGGAAATATTTTGCCTATTAGTTTACTCCTCTGCAATGATGGCAGTATCAAACCGACTTTAATTAAAGGTACTCATAATTTCTATATCCATATAGATTTTTCAGTCCAGCCTTGAGACAAATATCTCTGTCTAAGCTAGGAGCATTAACAGTTACAAAATAAACAGTGTTCATAGAAAATGTGCATTTGTTCTGAAAATGGAATTAAAGGCAACTGGAATTTGAAAATCTGGAATGCCTGGCAGTTTTCATTGACCAACTCGTGTCTTTCAACCCTGTAAAAAATAGACTAAATAATGCCTCACGAGACCTGAAAGACATTTATAAATAAATTGGCATAAAAATAAAGGCAGTAGAATGTTGGAAAGCTTACAGAATATAAAAGTGACACTTCCCATAAAGGCACTTTAATGTAAATCATTCAAATCCCTTGCACATGTATATCAACGCACTCTTCTTTGACAGGAAACACCGAGGACTTCCCGTTATCCGCTTCTTGGTCTCATCTGTTCAGTTTTTTCCCGCTTGTTTTAGTCCATTTAAACACAGTGTCTGAGGACATCTTGTCAATTGAGGACCAGCTGCGCCTGTGACAAGGATCTCTTGTTATGTATGTCCTCGGTGAACCTCAACTACGCCCAGTTGTACATTAACTCAAAAACCAACACCTAAAAAGTTCACAACAATACACCAGGTACCGCTGATCACCTCAACTACAGTCCTTTGCAAAAGTTTAGGACCACCCATAGAAAATGCATTAACCTGAAGGAAAACCAAACTTAAACCAATCAATCATGGCAACTTATGTTTATTTTCAATATGTAACCTTGGTACCTTGGTTGAACATTTCTGACTACATTTCCATGATAAGACATGTTATCAGTCTAATATTCAGTATGCCCTCCCTTATTTCTGATTACTTAGACTGGCTTTTTTTTTACCCATGCTGCCTTGCAGACAAAATGTCATACAAGACCTGCCTTTGCAAAAAATTTCATTCAAATGGGTACATAGCACTACACTGATGTTATGCACCGCTGTAAAACCATGTTAAGTAATCATTCAGTGAGACAGTGTAATGCAGGCCCAGTGACAGAAATACCAATAAAATTCCAGGTGGTCTTAAACTTTTGCAAATGACTGTACATCTTAAGATTTAAGCATTTGCACATCAACCATTCATGCCCGGATGGAAGCTGTGCTGTGGAATGGCTATTCGGGAGTCTAGGGCTATGTTTGAATTGATTAGCTGTGGATGGACATTACAAACATGTCTGTAGAGAGTGACTAGCAAGTGGCTTGAAGCGGAGCCCATGTTATATCCATCCGAAGCCTGATTCATTGTTTCTCGCCGAGGATTTGAGAATGTGGGTTCTGGTCTCACCTCAGAAAGATCATGGTTATTGACCCATCGTGGTAGAATCACGTCAACGCAGCTTGTGACATATTGTCCATTAAATGCTGGACATGCAATATCTGAGGCAACCAAAACTTGACGTACAAATTCCAGAGTTGTTTAAGGGATGTGGGCAACTCTCGAATTGCAATGAGTTAATTGCACTCCTGGGTGGGATATCTTTACCACTGTTGTTCCCCCAGAACAATCGTCAAGATACCTCACAAACAAATCCTACCACGTCTAATGCTCTCCATTTGTTCTCTTTCATTTTTTTAAGCTCAGCATTAGCATTTCTTAATTGCAATAGTCTCCACTTAACAACTCAATCATAATGGCCCCTGTGCTCAACTAATATGCCCGTAAACCATGCCCCATAATGCATTTCCGAGGCATTGAACCCTGTTGCATCACGTCAGCCATTTTGAACAATCTTCCTGGTACACAGGCATTGCTGTGTTGCACAATGACCCCACAATCAGACATACTAAGAGGCAGTTTTCATAACGAGGCAACCATCAGCTGCAATAAAACTGTGAATGAGTGTACACAAAGTATAAAAATACAAAAATGGCGAGTTTATTTCAAATGGATTGTTGAATATATCTTAAGGTCTGCACCTGGCGTGAAGACAATATGGGCAAGTATTTACCAGAAGTATTTACCTGGTATGTTTGTAAAAAGAAAAAAATAGAAGTAACAACCTTTGTTCAGAATGAGAAAGGAAAAAGGTTTGGCAATGAAATGGCCGTTTTTTTCACTTGTAAGGTGATGTTTACAGCTCCTTGGTACAATGTCACAGAGAGGTTTCATGACCACCAAACAAGTACTTTTTTAGGTTTGAGATGATCTGAATGTAAAAGATGGCTTTTTAAAATTTTGACACTTCAGACTGTTTTTTTTCTCAGATTTTCAAAGTCAAATAAGGCTCGACTCCCACTCCAAGTTCTCATCTTATCCAACTAACGTTAACATGAAATGAACATCAAATAAACACGAGGTGACAATTTCCCTGTTACATGATGGGTATTCTGTTACCATGGTTACCGCATCAGGCAGTGGTTTCTCCAACCTCTTCCAGAGAAGTCTTCTCCAGTGGTGCTTTTGCCGCCTCCAGTTGTTTATTTTCTTCTTCTGCATGCCGTTTCTCGGCAAGCTGCAGCAATGACAACATATTCTTTTTAAATCTCAAAAACAATTGGTACGACCAAAGATACCAGCCCTAGGAACAGACGTAGGAGGGGCGTGGCCAGCGGGTGGGTATTGTGGGCGTGGGCGGGGAGGGACAAGACAAAGGTGAAGCATGGAGGGGTGGAGCAAGATTGTAAGGAACTCTTCCAGTAACACGAGGATGTCTCTGTTTGGCGATACCGTTGTGAATACAATGCTTCAATAGGAATGTTGAGACCAAACCAAAAGTACCTTCAGTCTTGGGATCAACTGATTTCGACAAATACAACGTTAGCATTAACTTTTATTTTCCCTTCCTGTTATAAATGGAAAGTGTAAATGCTATGTGTAATGCACACTTTGGACATGAAATAATTTTTAAAAAATTAATAATTGACTTGGGGACGTTTGGTGATTTTGAAGTCCTTGAATTGGAAGTTGGAACCTCACAGGTCTGTGAAATTCCACAAAACTGATTTGGGGGACTGGAGAAGTCACGTTCCCGGGACGCTTTGTATGACAGAGTGCCATGCGTTAGATACACAAATGTTAGCACCAGTGACAAATGTCAACAATTTGAAGTGTCATTTTGAAGTGAAAATCAATGACGACTGAAGAGATTTCCGCTGACGACCCCAACAATGGAACATCTATTGAGCCTCAGAGGCATGATTAGCAACACAGAACCAAAGTGTGTCACAAATGGAGACGTAAAAAGAGAAGCCTGGACAACTTTTAGTCTAACGAAGAAGATGTCAAGTGTTATTACACACGGTGCTCGTGGCGATGTTGAAGAGGGGGTAGGTGAATGCTCAAACCATTACAGCATATACAATGACTGAGGTGATATCCGCCAATGTCTAATGCAGGGCTTGTTTAGTAAAGTGCCAATGACCCAAACTGTACAAAGTATGTGTAAGTTTCTTAAGGAACCTTCCGTGTGCGAGTGTCTGTTATGGTGCCCGGGCCATTAACGCACTGATGGGACAGTTTCTTAAGTTAGGATGGCTGGGACCGAGTTGTGGAGACAAAACTTGTCCCCGTAACATTTTGGGGGTCCCCACAACACCTACATTTCAACACCTGTGAAGTCACCACGATTACGAACAAGTCAGTGTGCTTTTCTAGTACATATGAAATGAGCTCGGCATGCAAATGAAAACCGAAATAAAAATACTCACACGTCTTTCAACTCTCTGTGCAGAAAACATCAAGCACATTGAACAATCAGACTAAGAAGCGTATTTAGCATTCTTTCTAATTCAAAATTCCCTGACCTAAGATTCAGCGGTCAGCCTGCATGCAGAGCTGTGCACTCCTCGTTTGCAACTTGTGCCCCGGTACTCTTGTGTTACACATTCCAGGATTCCTGTTTGAATCCAACCCAGTGCATCGTGTGACACACAGGGTCTATCGGTTCCAACTTTGCTGCTTAATTTGTCAAACATCGATGCTCTGGGTTTTCTTCTCCTAACTAAAAAACCGTCCTTTTGTGCATTCCGCTGTTTAGACTTGCAGCCAACTTCATAGAACAGTGACAATATTTACACATTACGGGCCCTTCCACTGTTAAAAAAGTTAGAACTAGGCTCAGCACGTAGGTCAATTAACCCAGTGACCTTGCATAGCACTTTCCAGAGGCAATCCACTTTATCGAGTGATGAGTTACAATTTGATTGGTTCCATTTTGGTCGGTATTCATGTTCCTCTGGCGTGCCAAGATGTCTGTGTTGACCAGGGAACCAGTCCAGACGCAAGGTCATGACAGAGGATTTCTGAGCCTGTTCAAGACTAAAACTGTTGGTAGCCCTTTCATTTTCTGGTATATCTAAGGTCCATTCAAGTGGGTGTTAAGCGCTATTGATAGAGGCAGATGTGGGCCCGAAAACAAACATTTTGGAGTTACGTGCGAGGGTTAATTTCATTTAAAGGGGTGACCATTGTGAAGAAAACCTCTGATCTCTGGAGAATTACTTTAAGGATTAATTTCTTTTACAGAAAAGGGAGATTCGTTCATTTGGGTGCAGGTTTAGGAGAATAGTGACTCCACACAGGAGATCCCATGTGATGGATATGAAGGTGCGTGCCTTGATCCTAGGTGCAGGACCTGCAGGTGTGAGCCTTCCACCTGGAAATCACAGTTGAAGGGTCTAACAGTGAAGGCCTTCACATGGGAAAGGCTTCGAAGGTGCACCTTCCAAAAAACCTTGGTGCAGTATCTGCAGGTGTGCATTATCAACAAAAATGGGGTCTGAAGGCGTGTGCATTTGTCTCATGTGTAGAATCTACTGGTGTGCACCTATATGCCAATTATCTGGGTGCAGAATCTGTATGTGCGTGCAATTTCAACCTGGATATCTTGTGGACACCACTTATAGGTGAGCACCTACATGTCAAATATCCTGAGCAAAGGGATCTGAAGGTGTATGTCTGCAACCAGGATATCTTGTGCACACCACCTTCAGGTGTACACTTCACTCCAAATATCCTAGGTGAAGGATCTGAAGGTGTGCACCTTCAAATAGGCGTCTGTTGCATGCCACCTATAGGTGTGCACCTACACACCAAATATCCAAGGTGTTGGATCTGAAGGTGTGCACCTTCAAATAGGTATCTGTTGCATGCCACCTATAGGTGTGCACCTACACGCCAAGTATCCAAGGTGTTGGATCTGAAGGTGTGTAGTGTGCACCTTCAAATCCAACACCTTCAGCCTAGGTGATACTCACCATCTGAAGGAATGCCTGTCTGGATTCAAACTCTTCCCTCGCTAGCTCCACCTCCATCCACTTGGGCAGATCAGGGATCAGAATAGCGATGGCAGCCTTCAGGCCCAGCAGAATGTGCTGAAAAAGAAGGTAAATTTCATTACAATGTGTACAAAATTCCATGGAACTTTGAGTAGCACTCTGGTCATCCACTTTTTTCCAGTCTCAAAAATACTTCATCACAATGTTGTCTACCCACGACATGGAGAAAGTTACCCACATCAGCTGCTCCATGTTGGTCACACTTTTGGGGAAGTCTGGTTGAAGCAGGGAAAGACAAAGACCAAGGAATGACGAACGACAACCACGAGGGTTTTTTTTTTCTGTGCAGATTTGCAGAAATGGAAAAACCTACTCTTTTTTGAAGGGAGGGGGGAAAAATTGGGTCTACTTACCTCAAATGCGACAAACATAAGGATGTAGTGGGTGGCGCTCATGTCAGGGAAGAAGGCCTTGACTTCCGGAGACATGGCCATCAGTGAGGTGTTGGTCAGAACGGCAACGATGCCCATGATCTCAAAGACAACCTGAAAAATAAGACCAGTCCAGTCCAACAAAAGAACGGTCTCACAAGAAAGCGCCATCCTCACCACACAAACCAGTTATAAGAACTACATATTGTTTCCTAGATGGAGCTATAAACGTGCAAACTTTTTACACTCTGAATCAAGTTACAAAGGTACGTTTCACTTTTCTGAGACACGCATATGTAACGAGCATCAATATGGACTCGGTATACAACCGACTTTGGTTTTTCATCACATGCACGAGAAAATGTTTCACAGAAAGTACAATCACAGTTTATTTTAACGTAAACGATCTACACAACACAGCCTTACAAATCATAGTGTAGCTTAACACACCTGCCAGGTTCCTATATCTTCTGCCGATTGGCCAAAGGGTCGCTGACACACCCGACTGATCTTGAAGGCATCAGAGCGGATCTCAATGATGTTGTTGAGTAGGGCCCACAGCGCGGCCAGAGGGTAGACCGCCGAGAACAGGAAGACGTAGCCAAACTGGAGGAACAGCTCCAGATAGTCGTCAAAAGTGCCCTACAAAAATGAAGGAAAGATTCCCAACAACGTTGACTCATTTACTAAGTGCCAATTGAACATGGAAACTTACAACTGCCAGTGTTGAACCTATGACAACAAAACACTTAACTAGGATTCAACCAACTAGTTTG